ATTCCCGACTGCTGTGTATTTGGAGTTTGTGTGTCTCTCTCTCTCTCCCCATGGTCGCGTGGATTTGTTCTCCGGGTTTTACGGTTTTTCCCACCCACATTTACAATCGACGTCACGCGTTTAGAGTGTTTTAATTTCTATAGAGTCCATGGGTGTCTACACGACTCTAAGGGTCTCTATGTGAGTATATAGGTCTCAATGTGAGTCTATGGGCTTCAATGTAAATCTGTGAGTCACTATGTGACTCTAAGGGTGTCTAGTTTAGTCAATCCGTCTCTATGGGAGTATATCAGTCTTTATGTGAATCGCAGGGTTCGACCATGACCCTGATGTTCGTTGATTATTTGGAGTCTGCGTCTCTCTCTCTCTCCCCGTGGATGCGTGGATTTCTTCTCCGGGTCCTCCGATTTTCCCCTCCACATTTAGAATCAACGTCTCGCGTTTCGAGTATTTTCGCCGCTGTAAATGTCTACACGACGATGATAAGCCGCTTCGCTGTTGAGCTATCATCTGTGGTGGCCAGGTCGCTTCTGGAACATAAGAGCTGTATCGCTCAGTGGGCCTTTATACCCCGTAAAATAAAATAAATAGTTGAGTTTTTAGTTTAGTACAGCGTGGCACATTCCAAAACGTCATGGGGGGGTGGGGGGGGTGGTGCAAGTTGGTAATTCACCTGCCACTTGCCCTGGAGTACACCGCGAATCTTTGACGTTTGCGCGCGCTCACTCGCGGCAAGAAGGCGGGCGGGCACCTGGGTTCGATTCCCGACAAGGGCGCGTGCCTCTCTCTGTGTTGGGAGTGCGTGAGCGCGTGAGCGCGAGTGCGAGAGTGTCTGCGTGTTATCTTTTTGTGCGCGGTTTGCCGAACGAATGCGTTACGAGGCCGCACTCGCTACGCGCAAAGCGCTCGACCGCAAATCGACCGCAACAACAATTGTCTTGCTGATCTCTGTCAAGGAGCTATGAGCCTTCGTCGCGCGAACTCCCCTGGTCATCTTCCTAGCAGCAGCAGCAGCGGCAGCTTCTGGCTAAGCCATCGAACAGAGATGGTGGTCGCCGCGTCGTCATCGCGCGGCGCTTTCAGAAGCGCTTCTGCGGCCGTCTGGAACGCTCTTCCTTCTGAATATTAGGAAGCCACTGGAGCTGTGCAACTTTCAAATCATCATTCACATTGACAAGATACTTTCTTTAGAACTGCTTTTTGCTATTTGGTTTGTTGTCCTTCCCCCACACCCCCCCCCCCCCCCGCACCTCCGATTAATTATCAAGGTCGGTTACGTATGGTGCGAAAATAGTTCGATGTACGTAGGTTCGATCCCAAACCTGACGCCTGCTGTTTATTTGGAGTTTGCGTGTCTCTCTATCTCATCATCAATCACAGTGACTAAGATGTGTTAACTGCCTCGCCTGGTATACAGGAGGTCGTAGGTTAGATGCTAACCCTGATGCCTTGCTGTATATTTGGAGTTTGCGTGTCTCTCTCTCTCCCCCCGTGGTCGCGTGGATTTTTCTCCAGGTCCTCCGGTTCTTCCCTCCACATTTTAGGAATCGACGTCACGCGTTCAGAGTTGGCTGGCCGCTATAAATTTCCTCGCGATGGTGGTGATGATGATGATGATGTGATGAGCCCTCTCCGTGGCAACAAACCAAACGCGCAAAGCAGCCTCAAAGTAGCGAGCGCTTTTCAACCAAGTGCGCGCGTACGTAACGTTGAACTGAAACCCACGACCCCGCCGTATACCGGGCTCGGTTTGTAACATCTCGCCACGACGGTAGGGAAAGAAAAAAAAACGCGGACCCTCCGTGGCAAAGCGATGGCGAGCACGACCCCCCCCCCCCCGCCCCCCCCCGAGGAATGGAGCCATGCACGCCCGTAACCGCTCACGACAGATGGCCGTTTGTTTTTTTTTTACTACAATAATTCGTAATGCCGAGCCGTGTGAATTAATTCCTCCGGGAGCCACGACAGATTGGTCTTTTTAATTTTATGTGCAGAGCGTCAAGTGTTTTTTTCTTTTTAAAAATATTTTTTCGTAATCTTTCTTTCGCGTGAAGATTAACCCCCTTTTTGCCGACGACTGGAAATGTTTGCCCTTTGGGAATTTATCACCACGCGCCCCCCTCGGCCCCCCCCCCGCACCCCCCCCACCTCTACATTCCGTTAAATAATTCCTCCCAAACGTTGGGACCCAAAAAAACCGATCGGATTTGGTGCGTGGACGCTCGCACGCGGTATTTTATTTGGAGATCTCTAGGGGAACACAAAAAAAACCCCAAATAATTGTTATTATGAGACCTCCTTTGCCAGAAACAAGATATAGGAATAGGTTTTACCCTTTTAACTGGCACAAAAACTGACACCTTTATTCAAGGCATCATGTTTGCAATAACCACAACACAAGCAGTCAAAATGCAAACAAAAAAGACATCTGATAATAATATTGGCACTGTTCTTGAATTTGATTGGTCCACACCCGAGACAGCTTTTCTTAGAGCCTAGTTTCCAATGGAGACTAGGCTCTATATTATTATCAGAGTTGTCTTTTTTGTTTGTATTTTGACTTTTTGTGTTGTGGTTATTGCAAACATGATGCCTTGAATAAAGGTGTCAGTTTTTGTGCCAGTTAAAGGGGCAAAACCTATTCCTATACCCCAATAATTTGCCAACCCATCCTCGATGCATTGATGATATATATCCATTCCTTTCAACCGTAGACTCTGCGACGGTTAAGAGAAGGGCCTATTTTGTTACCGCTTGTGGCTGCGTCGAGTTCGACTCGAAATCGCCAAATTTTCAATCGTGTCGTCTCCGTAGAGTTGGGCCCGGGGGGGGGGGGGGGGGGGGGGGGGGGGGGGGGCGGGGTGGGGGAGCGGTGGAGCAGCGGTTAGCGCACCGAACTATGGATCCGGCGAGAACCACCGGCCCCCCCCCCCACCACCGCCCCAATCATGCCGACTTCGATTCCCGGCCACAGCTACGATTGGGCCTACTTTTTTATTTTCGCAGGCAAGGCCCCACTGAGCTTCTCCTGTTGCCAAAAGCTACCTGGCCAAGGCTTATCATCGTCGCCACGTGGAAAAGTAATAGCAGCCGTTTGGAATCCCGTGACGTCGATTCTGAACGTGAAGGGGGGAAAAAAATCCGCAGGAGCCGGAGAATAATCCACGTGACCACGGGGGAGAGCACCACACTGAAAAAGAATCTGCATAGCTCCAGTGGTGGCTGACCTGGTCAAATTAAAATATATGCATTCAAGTTTTTGTTACGCTTTCCGCGTTGGAACGGCGCCCACGTTTCCATGTCACGACGGGGCGCGTTCTGCAGAGCGCGAAAAAAAGTGGTCCACGTAAAGGAGAACCGCGTCGTAACGTGGACGGTGGAAGCGTTGTAACGTGGAAGCGCTGTAACGTGGAAGCGCTGTAACGTGGAAGCGTTGTAACGTGGAAGCGTTGTAACGTGGAAGCGCTGTAACGAGGAAGCGCTGTAACGTGGAAGCGCTGTAACGTGGAAGCGTTGTAACGTGGAAGCGCTGTAACGTGGAAGCGCTGTAACGTGGAAGCGCTGTAACGCGGAAGCGCTGTAACGTGGAAGCGCTGTAACGTGGAAGCGCTGTAACGTGGAAGCGCTGTAACGTGGAAGCGTCGTAACGTGGAAGCGCTGTAACGTGGAAGCGCTGTAACGTGGAAGCGCTGTAATGTGGAAGCGCTGTAACGCGGAAGCGTTGTAACGTGGAAGCGCTGTAACGTGGAAGCGCTGTAACGTGGAAGCGTTGTAACGTGGAAGCACTGTAACGTGGAAGCGTTGTAACGTGGAAGTGTTGTAACGTGGAAGCGCTGTAACGTGGAAGCGCTGTAACGTGGAAGCGTCGTAACGTGGAAGCGCTGTAACGTGGAAGCGCTGTAACGTGGAAGCGTCGTAACGTGGAAGCGTTGTAACGCGGAAGCGTTGTAACGTGGAAGCGTCGTAACGTGGAAGCGTTGTAACGTGGAAGCGTCGTAACGTGGAAGCGCTGTAACGTGGAAGCGTTGTAACGTGGAAGCGCTGTAACGTGGAAGCGTTGTAACGTGGAAGCGCTGTAACGTGGAAGCGCTGTAACGTGGAAGCGCTGTAACGTGGAAGCGCTGTAACGTGGAAGCGCTGTAACGTGGAAGCGCTGTAACGTGGAAGCGCTGTAACGTGGAAGCGCTGTAACGTGGAAGCGCTGTAACGTGGAAGCGCTGTAACGTGGAAGCGTTGTAACGTGGAAGCTCTGTAACGTGGAAGCGTTGTAACGTGGAAGCGCTGTAACGTGGAAGCGTTGTAACGTGGAAGCGTTGTAACGCGGAAGCGCTGTAACGTGGAAGCGCTGTAACGCGGAAGCGCTGTAACGTGGAAGCGTTGTAACGTGGAAGCGCTGTAACGTGGAAGCGCTGTAACGAGGACGCCGCGCTCGTCACAACAGCGACTCGCCGCACTCCGTTATCGTTGGGACCTTTTTTTAGCCGGTTGTCAAAGTATGAAAACTGAAGAGGTTTTACCCTTTGTGGCAATGAAAGCGGTGATGTTAAGGAGTCAAGTGATTGCATTAACCGCACAAGGTTACTTGTGGTGAACATGCAAGCACAAACGTGGCTCTGACAATAATAATATTAATATATTGGCATTGTCTCTGAAACTGATTGGCCTGCACCAGAGATGGCGGCCTTCTTCATGGCCTAGCCTCACCACCAGTGTCACACCAGAGAACAGAGCCAAAAGGCGAACGGGTACAAGGACAATGCCACTATCAGAGCATTCATAGCTCGGGGGTTGAGCGGCTGTATCATGGGGATAACTTGTATTGCCAGTGTCGTTATTGACGTCGAATGTCGTTGTCTTCTCCATCTCTCTCTCTCTCCGTCCATCTCTCTCTCTCCGTCCATCTCTCTCTCTCCGTCCATCTCTCTCTCTCCGTCCATCTCTCTCTCTCCGTCCATCTCTCTCTCTCTCTCTGCATCTCCCTCCGTCTGTGCGTGTCTCAGGATCCCCGCAGCAAGCACCGCTTCAAGGCCCACACCTACGGCAGCCCCACGTTCTGCGACCACTGCGGCTCACTGCTCTACGGCCTCATACACCAGGGCATGAAGTGCGACAGTGAGTGATGCTCTCGCCGGAGAAGCCAAAGGGGGGGGGGGAATCGAGTGGCGCCCCTCTCCCCCACCCCCCCCCCCCCGCACAGAAGGGTCGGGAGTCGAACCCGGGGTGGCGGGGTGGGGTGGCGATGATCGCCACGGGTGTGACTCCCACCGAGGTCATCTCACGTGGATAGGTTTTGTTGTCAAATTTGTCTACAGTTCTTCACCGGCGAGAGCCATCGACGACCACCGTCTCCCTCCCCACCACCACCACCGCCCCCCCACCAACCCCGCCACCATCCACCCACCACCACCCCCCCACCCCCCCCCCCCCCCCCCGTGTGGCACAGCCTGCGACATGAACGTGCACAAGCGCTGCGTGGTGATGGTGCCCAGCCTGTGCGGCATGGATCACACGGAGAGGCGCGGGCGGATTCGCATCGTCGCCGAAGTGACCAACGCCGAGAAGCTCGTGGTCAGCGGTGAGTTGACGACGATGATGATCACGATGATGACGACGACGACGATGACGATGGCGACGATGGCGACGTTGGATGATCATGATGATGACGATGATGACGACAAAGAAGAAGATGACGATGATGATGATGATGACGACGATGATGACGATGGCGACGATGGATGATCATGATGATGACGACTATGATGACGACAAAGATGACGATGATGATGACGACAATGACGACGACATTGACGACGACAATACGAATTTGATGTAGTCGACCCGGGAAGCCGTGCCCGATGGTTGCATTCCTCACAGCTGCCTGGGGACCACAGAGACACCGCGACCACAGAGACACCGTGACCACAGAGACACCGCGACCACAGAGACACCGAGACCACAGAGACACCGTGACCACAGAGACACCGTGACCACAGAGACACCGTGACCACAGAGACCACAGAGACACCGAGACACTGCGACCACAGAGACACCGTGACCACAGAGACACCGTGACCACAGAGACACCGTGACCACAGAGACACTGCGACCACAGAGACACCGTGACCACAGAGACACCGTGACCACAGAGACACCGTGACCACAGAGACACCGAGACACAGAGACACCGAGACACAGAGACACCGGGACCACAGAGACACCGTGACCACAGAGACACCGTGACCACAGAGACACCGAGACCACAGAGACACTGCGACCACAGAGACACCGTGACCACAGAGACACCGTGACCACAGAGACACCGTGACCACAGAGACACAGAGACACCGTGACCACAGAGACACAGAGACACCGTGACCACAGAGACACAGAGACACAGAGACACCGTGACCACAGAGACACAGAGACACCGTGACCACAGAGACACCGTGACCACAGAGACACCGTGACCACATGGACACCGTGACCACAGAGACACAGAGACACCGTGACCACAGAGACACCGTGACCACATAGACACCGAGACACAGAGACACCGTGACCACAGAGACACAGAGACACCGTGACCACCGTGACACCGAGACACAGAGACACAGAGACACCGTGACCACAGAGACACCGTGACCACAGAGACACCGAGACCACAGAGACACCGAGACCACAGAGACACCGCGACCACAGAGACACCGCGACCACAGAAACACCGTGACCACAGAGACACAGAGACACCGTGACCACAGAGACACAGAGACACAGAGACACAGAGACACCGAGACACAGAGACACCGTGACCACAGAGACACAGAGACACCGTGACCACAGAGACACAGAGACACAGAGACACCGTGACCACAGAGACACCGTGACCACAGAGACACAGAGACACCGTGACCACAGAGACACCGAGACACAGAGACACCGTGACCACAGAGACACCGTGACCACAGAGACACCGAGACACAGAGACACCGTGACCACAGAGACACAGAGACACAGAGACACCGTGACCACAGAGACACCGTGACCACAGAGACACAGAGACCACAGAGACACCGTGAGCACAGAGACACCGTGACCACAGAGACACCGTGACCACAGAGACACCGTGACCACAGAGACACCGTGACCACAGAGACACAGAGACACCGTGACCACAGAGACACCGTGACCACAGAGACACCGAGACACAGAGACACCGTGACCACAGAGACAACGAGACACAGAGACACCGTGACCACAGAGACACGGTCACCACAGAGACACAGAGACACCGTGACCACAGAGACACCGTGGCCACAGAGACACCGTGACCACAGAGACACCGAGACCACAGAGACACCGTGACCACAGAGACACCGTGACCACAGAGACACAGAGACACCGAGACACAGAGACACCGTGACCACAGAGACACCGTGACCACAGAGACACCGTGACCACAGAGACACCGTTACCACAGAGACACCGTGACCACAGAGACACCGCGACCACAGAGACACCGAGACCACAGAGACACCGTGACCACAGAGACACCGTGACCACAGAGACACCGTGACCACAGAGACCACAGAGACACCGAGACACTGCGACCACAGAGACACCGTGATCACAGAGACACCGTGACCACAGAGACACCGTGACCACAGAGACACCGAGACACAGAGACACCGAGACACAGAGACACCGAGACACAGAGACACCGTGACCACAGAGACACCGTGACCACAGAGACACCGTGACCACAGAGACACCGAGACCACAGAGACACTGCGACCACAGAGACACCGTGACCACAGAGACACCGTGACCACAGAGACACCGTGACCACAGAGACACAGAGACACCGTGACCACAGAGACACCGTGACCACAGAGACACCGTGACCACATGGACACCGTGACCACAGAGACACAGAGACACCGTGACCACAGAGACACCGAGACACAGAGACACCGTGACCACAGAGACACAGAGACACCGTGACCACCGTGACACCGAGACGCAGAGACACAGAGACACCGTGACCACAGAGACACCGTGACCACAGAGACACCGAGACCACAGAGACACCGAGACCACAGAGACACCGTGACCACAGAGACACCGCGACCACAGAGACACCGCGACCACAGAAACACCGTGACCACAGAGACACAGAGACACCGTGACCACAGAGACACAGAGACACAGAGACACAGAGACACCGAGACACAGAGACACCGTGACCACAGAGACACAGAGACACCGTGACCACAGAGACACAGAGACACAGAGACACCGTGACCACAGAGACACCGTGACCACAGAGACACAGAGACACCGTGACCACAGAGACACCGAGACACAGAGACACCGTGACCACAGAGACACCGTGACCACAGAGACACCGAGACACAGAGACACCGTGACCACAGAGACACAGAGACACCGTGACCACAGAGACACCGTGACCACAGAGACACAGAGACCACAGAGACACCGTGAGCACAGAGACACCGTGACCACAGAGACACCGTGACCACAGAGACACCGTGACCACAGAGACACCGTGACCACAGAGACACAGAGACACCGTGACCACAGAGACACCGTGACCACAGAGACACCGTGACCACAGAGACACCGAGACACAGAGACACCGTGACCACAGAGACAACGAGACACAGAGACACCGTGACCACAGAGACACCGTCACCACAGAGACACAGAGACACCGTGACCACAGAGACACCGTGGCCACAGAGACACCGAGACACAGAGACACCGTGACCACAGAGACACCGTGACCACAGAGACACCGTGACCACAGAGACACAGAGACACAGAGACACCGTGACCACAGAGACACTGAGACACCGTGACCACAGAGACACGGAGACACCGTGACCACAGAGACACCGTGACCACAGAGACACGGAGACACCGTGACCACAGAGACACCGTGACCACAGAGACACAGAGACACAGAGACACCGTGACCACAGAGACACCGTGGCCACAGAGACACAGAGACACAGAGACACCGTGACCACAGAGACACCGTGACCACAGAGACACAGAGACACAGAGACACCGTGACCACAGAGACACTGAGACACCGTCACCACAGAGACACGGAGACACCGTGACCACAGAGACACCGTGACCACAGAGACACGGAGACACCGTGACCACAGAGACACCGTGACCACAGAGACCACAGAGACCACAGAGAGACCACAGAGACCACAGAGACCACAGAGACCACAGAGACCACAGAGACCACAGAGACCACAGAGACCACAGAGACCACAGAGACCACAGAGACCACAGAGACCACAGAGACCACAGAGACACCTTTTCCTTCTTCCTCTTCCTTATTCTTGCCCTCAGGGTGGTGATGAGAGTGAGTGGAGGTGAGTGGAGTGAGAGGGGAGAGGTTGGGGAGTGAGTGGAGGGGAGTAGATTGAGATGAGAGGGGAGAGATGGGAGAGTGTGTGGAGGGGAGTAGAGTGAGATGAGAGGGGAGAGTGCGTGGAGGGGAGTGGAGTGAGAGGGGAGAGTGAGTGGAGGGGAGAGGAGTGAGATGAGAGGGGAGTGGTGGGAGAGTGCGTGGAGGGGAGTGGAGTGAGATGAGAGGGGAGATATTCTCCACTCGGACCTGACTCTCATGCCCCATGCATTGGCTGACGTTCGGTCGAATCTATGAAAAATGGCTTCTCGAGTGCTGCGTGGTGGATTGTAAATTCTCTACTGCCACCTGGCGGTGCCTCTAAACGTGGCAATGCTCTCGACGGCAGCGGTTCCCAACCTTTATGGCACCAGGGACCGGTTTCGTGGAAGATTATTTTTTCACGGACCGGGCGGGCGGGGGGGGGGAATGGTTTCGGGACGATTCAAGCGCATTACATTTACTGTGTGCTTTGTTTATATTATCATTACATTGCAATATATGATTAAATGATTGCTCAACTCGCCATAATGCAGAATCAGTGGGAGCCCTGAGCTTATATGCTTAGTTCTTTCGGTAAAGTCACGTTGAAGGGAAACAACAAAATAATAAAATATATATAAAACAATAAAAAAATTCTCACGACGTTTCGACCATAACACAAACGGTCGTCTTCAGGTGTGTTGGTTTGCATAAATTTATTTTTAAACGGTGCATTTATTTATTTATAAAAAAACATCAGCACCACGCGCAGCGATTTGGCAGTTTATTTAGGACTAGTCCATCTATATTCTGAAAAGAGGAGGGGGGAGACGAACTTTTTTTTGTTATAATGTATGCTGTCTGAAAGCAACTGTAAGCGTGAACAATCAATTAAGACCTGAAATGGTTTATCAAATCTTTCCAATGATTGCTAAGATAGAATCCATCTTCTCGGTTGAAATTGTCTCTGTGCTTGTATATGTGGATAGCCTCATGAACGAATCTCTCATGGTAGCCAGATGACTTACAAAGAACCTCTGTCTTGGAAAAGGCAATGGCATGTGAGCCTACTGAATTATAACAATGATCTGCCACGGCCGAGGTGTTGGTCCTACCGTGTTTAAGGTCTGCTTTGTGTTCACGAA